AATCGACATCACCTCTCACCAATGCCATCTTCATTCTCAGCATCTTCCAGTCCATTCTATACTCAGCACCCAGAGTGACCTTTTAAAAATATGAATTGGATCATGCCATTTAAAACTTAATGACTGTTTATTATGCAGAGGATTAAATTCATAGTCTTCAGTATGGTTTGCAGGGCCCCTGTCTCCAAGCTTCAGGTCCTGTTCGTCCCTTCCACACTGTTTTGCAATAACAGTGCAGCTCTTTGTGTGCTCTGTCCACTGGAGACCCACTCTTTGCCTTGGGCGTTTGCACGTGCCATTTTCCTCTGCCCGCAATACTTCCTTCCCCTCTTTTCCTTTGGCTAACTTTCTGGTCAAACTTCAGGTCATTTTCTCAGCAGAGGTTTTCCTGACTATCCTCTTCGAAGTTTGATTCCCTTTCCCCCCTTTGTTTTTAAAAAAAATTGGTTTATTCTTTTTTAAAAATTTTTTGTTTTCATTTTTTATGCCCTTTTATTAAGTTATTAATACCATTATTCTTTTTCTTCATTGGATTTTTCCCCCAAAGACTTTCTCAACTCAGCTGCACATGACAACATGTATTGTAATTCTTTGAAGAGAGAAACGTGTGTGTATGTGTGTGTGTGTGTGTGTAACTAAAAAAAACAAACTCGGTGTTGTGCAGTTGATTCCATTTCATGGTGACCTCCATCGAATTTCTGAGGCTGTAAATTGCAAACAGGAGACTTCTCATCTTTCTCTCTCAGAGAAGCTGGTGAATTTGAACTGCCAGTCTTTTTATTCATTGTGCAACACACTATGCACTACATTACTTGGTGAGTGAAGAACTCCTTTGTGTGTGTTTAAAAAACAGTAATCTGTCAGTTGTCATCAAGTTGGAACCAACTAATAGCTGATCCTTCTTTGGGTTCCAAGGCTGTAAGTCACACAGGAGGAGGTTAGCTATCTTGCTCCCATGGAATTATTGGTGGATTTGAACAATCAGAGAAATATGGCCTTTGAGTTAGAAAAGTACAACTCCATGTGGACTGTATAGAGGTTCAAATAGCAATGATTGTCAGAATGGTGCAGGACCACACAGTATTTCGTACTATTGTTAGTAGGGTCGTTATGAGTTGGAATGACTCTGGGGGACCCAACAAAAAGAAAAATGATGAACTGACTCATATATGCTTTTCTCACAAATTACTAATGTGGAAATATAAAAATAATTTTTCTCTATGCAAAATCATTTAAAAAGACATTTCAAGTGAAATAAAAGTATCTTTACCAACTACTGTGGAGTTGCCTTTGACTCATGGCAACTCTGTAAATGACAGAATAGAACTGTATTTCATAGTATTTTCAGGGGAGCTCTGGTGGCCTAGTAGTGAAAAGTTGAGCTGCAATCCTGAAGGCATGCAGTTTGAATCCACCAGATGCTCTGCTAGAGACGGAGGGGCAATTTCCTCCTGTGCCAGTTAGATCTGATTCGATGGTACACAACAATTTAAAAAAAACAAAAAACAACACCCAAAACCACACTAACTCCATAGTATTTTCAATGACTGATTTCTTGGAATTAGATGCTTGCCTTTCTTCCAGAATGCCTCAGGGTGTACTTGAACCACTTACCTTTTGATTTGCAGTCAAGTACATTAATGTTTGTGCCACTCAGAAACTCAAAAAAATATGTACCATCAAATACATTTAACTCAGTAAATGTGGCAATGTCAACAGCTTCAACTAAATTCACGCTTGTGCATATAGGAAGTGTGACTACTTCTTAGCCATTTGGCAACAAACAATTTGAGTTTTGAGTTAATTTAGTGAGGGGGATGTGATGTGTGTATCTTAAAACTGATGCTATGTTCTGTGTATTTATATCTATTTATTTTTGTTGCTGATGCTGTGAATATACACATAGAAATTACATTAATTCAGTAATTTTTGCAAGCATAATTCAGTGACATTTATTACTTTTTGAGTCTGTGTTTCTTCCCATTGTTTGAATGTCATTCTTCCCCTCTTAATATAAAATCACTACTTCCTTGCAGTTATTTATGCAGTCTTTCATATTGTGTTGTCAGTTTTATTCCAATGCATAGATATTAAAAGAGCACAATGCTCTAGGCAGAAATTCTTTATTCATTAAGCTAAATTATTACTTGATTTTAAGATAACTTCAAGGAATATTTTTCATTTACAATTTAAATATTACCTTAAGGTAGTACTTTCTGGAATTTACCTAGACTTCATGTATATAAAATTGGGAAATTCTGTCCTACAGTACTTCCCTTTTTAAAAATTATTATTTATTTTCATTCATTCATTGTTGTACATTTTCCTCCCTGGTCATCCCTCCCCACAGTTTGCTTTTCTCTTTGAAAAAGAAAAAAATCCTTTCATTGTTTTACAATCCCTCCAGACCATTTTACTATGCAGCTCTAATTCTGGACTCCTGTCATGCAGATAATACCTAATCATATATTCCTTTTAAACAGTTCTCTTCCTCATCTGTTTCAATGCAATGTAACTAATTTATCCCCTCTCTTCTTAGTTTTCTCCCCAACCCCAGTGTCAGTCCTGTTTTCTAACAATGGAATTATGCAGTATTTGTCCTTTTGTGACTGAGATATTTCACTCAGCATGATGTCCTCCATAGTCACCCATTCTGTATAATATTTCATAATTTCTTTGTTTTTCAGTGCTGCATAATATTCTATTGTGTGAATATACCACAGCTTCTCTAGCCATTCATTTGTTCATGGGTACTTGGGTTGTTTCCAACTCTTGGCTACCGTGAACAAGGCAACATTAAACATTCATTAAGGTATATTCCCAGTAGTGGAATTGCTGGGTCAAATGGTATTTCTATTTCCAACTTTTTGAGAAAGCACCATATTGCCTTCCATAGTGGTTGCACTATTTTGCACTCCCACCAACAGTGAATAAGGGTTCCAGTTTGCTGTTTCCCTCTTTTTGATCAAGATTCTTTGGTGGCATCTTTGATCAAAATATTCAATAATGGTAGTTGGGCACCTTCTAGTTCCTCAGGTCTCACAGCAAAATGGGACATTGTTCATGAAGATAATAGCCATACTTTCCATTTTCTTCTATTCATGACTCTTCCTTCCTCTGTTGTTCTATGCAAGTAAGGCTAATTGTATCTTGGGTGGCTACTTACATTCTTGTGAGACCTCAGGTACCACACAGTGAATTAGATGAAAGAGCAGAAGCCTTAAACACAGTATTATGCCAGTTAACTAGGATGTCCTATGAAACCATGAGGCATAGTTGGTTATGTGTTGGGCTCTAATTAAAAGGCTAGGGGTTCAAATCTGTCTGCTGATCTTCAGGAGAAAGATTAGAAGGCTCTTCTCATCAATATTTATAGCCTTTGTAAGCTAATAGAGTGTGAACATGAGTTGAAATCAACTTGATGGCAGTGAATTGTTCTTACCTGAAAAGAAATCGAATCTCATGAAGTTTTTGGTTTAATATAAGCAACTTCAGCAGCTACTTGTTTTGGTAAACCTATCATACAACATTTGACAGTTCACCATTTTACAAGTGTACAGTTTCCATCCCCATACACTCATACACTCAAAGTCTGTATTACATAAATTATTAGCCCTTTTTTATTTTCTCTCCTGCCCCTAGTAACCACTAATAAATTTTGTCCTGGTCTTTTTATATAAAAAATCCACTATCTTTAGGTTGATCCCAACTCATCAGATTTCTAAGGCTGTAATTCTTAAGAGGAATAGACTGTCTTAACCCCCTTAAGCCACTGGTAGATTTGGACTGCTGACCTTTTGATTAGCAGCCCAGCACTTAACATCTGGCACCAGTGGGGCTCTGTTTATATAAATGAGATCATATAGTATTTGTCCTTTTGTGACTTATTATTGTTGTTGCTGTGTACCATTGAGTTGGAACCAAGAGGCAGTAAACTGCACAGAAAGAGATTATCCATCTTTCTCCTGCATAGCAGCTCGTGGATTTGAACTACAAACCTTTGCATTGGCAGCACAATTCCTTACCATTAAGCCAGCAGAGCTCCCTGTCTTCTTATAATACTAAGTACTAAAATATTTAGTATGTTGTTGTTGTTGTTGTTATTTGTCCTAAAATGACCCTATAAACAACAGATCTGAACCTTGCCCTATCCTGTACCATCTTCACAAACTCCATCTGTATTATAGCATATATTGTAACATGCAGTAATAATTCAGTAGAAGTTTCTTCTGTTGGTTGAGTGTATTCCTTTGTATCTCTCTCTCATTTCCATCAAGTCATAACTGACCCTCCAGCAGATTTTCAGAATGCTAGTTCATAGGCTTCTAATGGCTCTCATTACTTAGTGGTAAGAACTTAGGCTGTCAACCCAAAGGCTTGCATTTGGAATCTGCCAGCTGCTTCACTGGTGGAGAAAGATGAGCAATCTCCTGCTGTGTGAGGTACAATCTCTGTAAACCCACTGGAGGGTCAATAATGAGTCAATCCTGACTCAGTGGTACATAGCCAACAACAACAGTTCTAACACAAAGGCTGTGTCTCTCTGGTGGTTTGAATCCACCAGCTGCTTTTTATGAGAAGGATGGCCATCTCTTCCCCTATGATTTACAGCCTCTGGAACTCAATCGAAGGTCAGATCTGAGTCGTTTCCAGTGAGAGTTCTAAGTGATGAAACTGAGACTTCGACCTGACATTTCCTGCTGTATCCAGTTATTTCTCAACATTCAGCTTCATCTGCTTAGACAATTCAGTTGTACTAGAGCAGATGACTGACTATAGCAGCCACAGGAAATAGAGGCATGTTCTGATTCTCTGCCTAAATTCCTTGTTGGTTTTGTTTGGGGGAATATATATATACTGAGAGAATTTATTAAAAACCACTGTTAGAGAAAAAAATTTTAAAAATAACTACTGTTAGTAAAAATAAGTACGTAGAAGTAGTTTTTGACAAGTTTAGAGTTAAATACCATTCTCTTTTCCCCTCCCATTCCTCCCTAAAGGTACCAGAAAGCAGCTGAAGAAGCAAATATGGAAAAGAGGAGAAATGTAAGTATTTCGAAAAAGCTCTTTGTCAAATAGAACTCTATAAGCAGTGCCCATGCCACCTGCAGCCTCTGTGGGGCTTGGGCTTCGTGTCAGCTGGGGCTGGGCATACATGCCAGCTGGTCTGATTTGTGAGCCATTTGCTCTGGAGAACTTGGCTTAGGTGCAGTTCTGCTTTTGACCCATTTTATCTTTCCTCAGTTAAGGACAGAAAGCCAGATGGTTTATCTGAGGTTAGAAAAATTACTTACTAGTTCTACTCAAGTTAGAATATAGAGTGTCTCAGATCCTCATTCTTGCTCCCTGCTCCCAATCAAACAACCAGATTCCATACGTTTAAATGGTAGCAGCTGTGCAGCTGGTGCCATTCTCTGGGTTCTTTGTTTAAAGCAAACTTCTTGACTAGCCCAGTTGGGAAGTTTCCTAGCTGTGGAATCTGTCAAAGGACAAACATTTCCAGAACACGCTCTTTTCTGGTACCCATGTCACTACTTGTTCTGCTTACTTACTGTCTGCAGGGCTTGGTAATGAAATTTCATTTGAAAAGAGACTTTTTCCTATTTTATAAGGAAAAAAAGAAATAAAAAATCCTAACATTTAATCAACAGCACTTAACAATGATAACATCGGCATAGAGAGTTATCAGTTGGCCTAGTGGACAGAAAACAATGCTACCAAGTCAAATGAGGTGACTTCTAATCCACAGCCCTCAGTCCTGTTTTTCATTGTTTTTGTTCAAACAGTCTTCTAGGTCATATAGCCCTGGTGTGTCCACTTGCCGTACAGCGGTAACTTGTGGTTGCTGCAAAACTGAACACAGTGACACTGATGTATCAAATGCATTAATGGTTACCCATGGCAGACAGTGTTAGGTGGAGCTTCCCAATTAAAACAAGCTTGGAAACGGGAATGGCATCCACTTCCGTAATAGCTTGCCTCTGGTCTGGAAACCCTATGAACCTGGAGAGAGGATGAAAGTCAGTTGTTGAGGACTCTGCTTCATAGGGTCACTATGAGTCAGTCGCCTACGACTTGATGACACCTAACAACAACATATTTAATCAGTAATTCTTTTGTTTTGCTAGCCTTGCAAAAGCATCCTCCTAGGAGTCTTTAATATCTGATCTGTTTAAATTAATATATCAACGGCCCTGTGGTGAGCATGAAGAGACTTTGTCTTGATACTTGGGGCATATTATCTTGACAGACCAGTTCCTGGAAGAGGACATAATGGAAAAGTGGAGATCAAAGAAGAACCTCAATGAAGTAGATTGACACAGTGACTGCAATGATTGGCTTAAACTCAGCAAAGATTGTGAGAATGGCACAGGATTGTGAAGGGGTTTTATTCTGATGTACATAGGTCCTTATGAGTTGGAGATGACTCTTTAGCACCTAATAACAAAGGAATAGAGAAGGAACTATGGTGGAACAGAGCTTAGGGTACTTTGCTGCTAACAGAAGGATAGTAGTTTTAAATCCTGCAAAAGGAGACAATACAATGTGAAGGTGGCTTTGTTCTGACTTCTGCCCACTTCAGAAAGTGAAATCAGTAATATTCATAGCATCACATAGCTACTCTGTCAGACATGCCACCACCTATGCTCCTGCACTTCTTTCTACCAATCATTTCAGGTCTAATACTCGTTGTTGACTCACAGACTTTACTCATAGTTGTGAGGTTTACTAGGGAAATGAGCTGGAGGGTGGGGAGGCAAAAACTATTACCCAGTGCAAGTCCATGTTTAGTCCAGCAGTCCCAAGCCAGATTAACAAGGCACAATTCCCCAATTAGTTAAAGTCCAGGTTCAGTTCAGCAGCACAAATGCAAGAAGCTTCTGGTTTCCTCTATTTCTAGCAAGGTTTGCCTTAGAGGAGTTACAAGTCAGCTTTTCCTTCAATTATCCAGCCAGCAAAACCTTTAACTGTGGTTTGTCTCCACAGTTCCTCTGTTTACACAGTGCCACAGTCTCTTCACAGAAGTGCCACAGTCTCTTCATCCTCTCTCTACCACTGTCACCAGGGTACCGCACAGTATGGAAAGTTCACGCTTATATTGGTCCCTCAGCTGTTGATGATTTGCAAGACTGTGTGTCCACAGTTAAGGTAGCTAGATACCATCCCCCACCCCACCACAGCCCCACAACAGGGGCTAACACAATGGCTAGAAAAGCCAAATTTTAGGATTTCTGACACTAAAACCCCACATACCACTTCATAAAATAATGCTATGGCAGTTGGTTTTTTTGTGGTTTTTTTTGCAGTTGTTTTTTAAAAGATCACTGTCTTGGAAACCTGACTCTGTCCTTCCTGTATGGTCACTGTGAATTAGCATCAACTTGATGGCGGTGGTTTGTTTTTCTGGAAATGGATAATGCTGTCCAGTTCCTTGGTTCAATTTTCCTGTAATTTGAAAATATATCCCCTCAAATGAATCAGAGGCAATGAGACTGGCTCAAGATAGGATAGGATTCAGAGCTATTGTACACAGGATCAGTATGAGTCACAGTAGACTCGATGGCACATAACAACAACAACAACAACAATGAATTGTAATAAAACACTACCGCTGTTTCAGATGCTGGTTTCCTTTCTTCTTGCTTGCCTTTTTTCCCCCTTCCCTCTTTCCTTTTTAATTTCCAGCCACTCATTCATTTACATATAGTCACAAAGCACCTACTATTTGCCAAGCACTGTTTTAGGCTCTGGAAATACAGACCACATCGCTGCCATTGTGTCTACTTTTTCTGCCCTTTTTGGTCTACTTTCTAGCAGACAATAAAGACATTTTATCAGATGGTAATTAGTGCTATTATATACCATGAAATAGGTAAGAGGTGGAAAGAAGGCTACTAAAGAAAGGACATTTGAGCAATAAGATATGGACATGAGCCAGGAGGAAATGTGTTTGAGGAATGGGAAAAACAAAGTCAGATGGGGCCACTGAGTAAAAGTAAAGGCCTGACTGAGATGAAAACCTTTGGGAGTATGTGTACAAAGGAATGATTTTATTTGGCTTGAATATTCAAAAAGGGGAGGAGAGCAATGGCGGAAGATTAGAGAACAAATAAGAAAAAAAATTATGTAATTTAGTTAAGAGATAATAATGGATTGTACTGAGGAAGTAGTTGTGTAGGTGATAAGAATTTATCTGGATATATATGAAAGGTAGAATTCCCAGGATGTGCTCATAGGTATGAAGTATAAAAGAATGAGAAGAGCTGAGGATAACAAAACTATTTTTAGCTTGGACACCTAGAAAAAAATAATATTAACTGAGATGGAGAAGATTGTTAACCAGCAATTTTGGAGAGGGAGAAATAGTAGAAGATCAGTTTTAGACCTGTTAAAGTGAAATACTTTTAAAAAGACATCAAGTAGAGATACCAGGTAAGACCTTATATATATTTAAGTCTGAAATTTTTACAAGTCTATGCTGGGAAAAGGAGCCTTGGTGATGTGGCGGATAAAGATACCAAAAGATAAGTAGTTTGAATCCACCAACTGCTCTGTGGGAGAATGATGAAGCCATCTGCTCTCATAAACATTTACTGCTTTAGAAACACTGAGGGCAGTTCTACTCTGCCTTCCAGGGTCACATGAGTCAGAACCACCCCCATGGCAGTGTGTCTGAGTTGGAGATAAAATGAGTGTGTATTTAAGTATCAGTGATATTTAAATCCATGAGATTCATGAAATCACTTAGGACGTGCTTATAGAAAGAAGAGGACTGAGCTTAATGGTTATTTTGTGAGTAGAGGTTGGAGAGATGAAAAGACACCAGCAAAGAAGACAGAGACAATTAGTGATATACAGTGGAGTGCCAGAAACCAAATGAAGAAAGTATTTCTAGTAGAAGAGTTATCAGTAGTCAGACACACAAATCTGAAACTTACTTGATGAATTAGTTTGGCAAAATGGGGGTCATTTATCACCTCCCATTATTTGAGAGTGTTGAGATGAAGGCCTGATTGTAGTAGATTCAAGATAATTAGAATGAAAAATGTCAATACCACACAAACATTTCTGGAGCTTCTCTTATGTGCCAACTACTAAGACAAAGTGATGAATAAGAAGTGGTCCCTCCCTTCATGAAACTGTTTAAAACAAAAACCAGTTGCTGTCAAATGGATTTTAATTTATGACAACTCCATGTATGTCAGAGAAGAACTCTGCTCTATAGGATTTTCAGTGATTAATATTTTCAGAAGTAGTTTGCCAAGCTTTAGTTATAGAAAGAATTCAGGACTTTTGTTCATAGGGTTGCTATGAGTCATGCTTGATTCCACAGCAGTAAACAACAACAAGGTAGACTTAATCCTCCAACTTTTAGTTTAATAGCTCAGGCTCTTAGTCACTTGTACTACCCAGGGATGGCCCAAGACACTGTTTGGAGTTTGGAAAATGGAAGTCAAAACACAAGTGTGATGCTGTTGTTGTTTTTGTGTACCATAGAATTGGAACTGATACGTAGCTAACCCTCCAGTGAGTTTTCAGAGGCAGTTAATTGCCCCGGAGGAGATTGCCCACCCTTCTCTGGTGGAGCAGTTGGTGGCCTCGAACCATGTGCCTTCAATATTGCAGCGTAGCTTCTTGCCACCAGAGTTCCCTACAATTGTGATAAGGAACATTATGAAAAGAAAAACCCAGGATGCTGGGAAACAATTTAGGAGGGACTCATAACCTAAATAGGCTATGCAGTATCAAGGAAAGCTTTCCAGAAGAGGTTGTTTTCTGACTTAATCCTGAAGAATAAATAGGACTTAGCGAAGAGGACAAAGGCAGAAAGGAAAGAAGTCTTGACAGAGGAAGCAGCATGTCCACAGCATGGAGCTGTAAGACAGCAGGAACATTTGACAGGTGAAACAGTAATTGTCACATTCACCCAGATGGAGAATCTAGGAAAAGAAACTTTTGAAAGACAAAGAATGGTGGGAAACTTTTGAGACCCTGAAACACAAGGCAGTCCCATTGAGTTCTAGCTCTCCCAGATTTCACCATAT